TGGAGCTTGGTGCACCCTGGCTGAGCGCCATGGCCAGCTGGCCGGGCAGCCACTTCTCTTCCCTCCAGCCCGGCTGCCCTGCGCTCAGCCCAGGGAGGCTGCGTCTAGCTCCAGCTGTGCTGGAGCAAGCTTCCCAGGCTGAGCGCAAGATCACAGATGCCCATCTGATGGACTGTATATGACTAGCAATCTCAGACTACAACCCAGACTTCCAGATACTGGCAGATACTGTTCAGTCACAGGTGTCACACTGAGACTGTGTTATTGGAAGAAAAAATATATAATTATCAATACTTGATTTTACATTTACAAAATAGCAGAGAACAAAATGTATATTGTAAATGCTTAATTTGACATTTAAAGAACATGAATTAAAAACAGACCAACTATAAACATGTGATTTTAATTTTATATATTGCACGATTTAAAAATAACTGTTTAACAGAGTGTATAAGGGCTGGGGATAGCAAGTGATGGACAGGAGAACGGAGAAGGCGGGGCTTCAAGGAAGGGGCGGGGCGGTAGATCTTCCCCTGTTCTGAGACTTAAAAAGTGATCTTGAGTGTTAAAAGGTTGGAGACCATTGGCCCAGGGTGTAGCGATACAGGTACTTTTGGTAACATCCAGAGCCCCATCCGGCAAATCTCTTAACATTGTGCTATCCCAAGGCACACAGGCTTATTTTCACCTTTGATAATTAAATATTGTATTATATATATATATATATATTTATTTTTGAGCATGTCTGAGAGTCTTTCTGTGACTCAGTTTGTTCAAGACCTCCTTCTAAATAGTAAGAGCTAGGGCCATTTAATTTGGTATGCAGCTCCCTCTTATCCTAACTTAAAGCAAGGTCAAGTTTTGGTTGTCAGGAAAATAGAAAGTCTCTGGAATGGGACTGTTTTCCATAACATGGAAAGGGAGGCGGCTGAGAGGAGAGACCATGAAAAGGAGAAAGGGAGGGAGGAGAGAGAGAAAAGGCCCCTGTGGGCCAGAGGGAGGGGAGAGAAAAGGCCCCACAGACTGGAGGGAGGGAAAGCCCCACCAGATGGGACATCCCCTGCCCTGAGCCCTTCCTTACCCCCTCACTCCCACATCCCCAGCCCCCTTCTCTGAGCCCCTCCTCAATCCTCTTGCCCTGACTACACACACCCCAGCCTCTTCCTATCTTGCCCCTTTTCCACATCCCCAAGACCCTGCCTTGAGTTCTGCACCCTCTACATCGACAGCCTCCTGCTGTCAACACTGGATAAGTCTTCTAGTAATATGTAGGTGAAAGTGGGCAGAATTAAGGCTGCACAAGTCTTTGTCATTTTCTGATTTTTGAGTGCTTCACTTTACAATCAGAACATTGTGTGTGTGTGTACACACCATTAAATCTTGTAAAACATCCATAGATAGATGTGTAAATTGCATAGTAACTTGTCTTATATATTATGGGCCAGGTCCAAAGCATGTTGCATCCAGTCTGCTTTGGATCAGGACCAATTTTAGTGAACTGTAAGTTGAACATAATTTCCCCACTGAAGTCAATTGGGTTCTGAATGAAGAGGACTTCAGGAATATACATTAATTAATTATTGACTCTTAATTTGTTTCAGAGGTCCTGAGCCAGCATCATGTCAATGGCAGCTTTGCCATTGACTTCAGTGAGTATAGGATCATATCTATAGTATTCAGAATCAACTAAGGCCATTTTATTTCTTGATTAAAAACATCAATTTAATTTTGATTGCATCTTTTGGTGGCCTTTTATTTCTGGGGAGTGGATGAAGCTGTTACAAAGAAAAGAGACTGCATTTGTGAGGGATGGAAGGAATCTGTTATAAATAATAGCTCATCTGAGAAGCCTATGAAACAAAATATTTCATTGATATTTCTGAATTTTTCACTGTTTCTATTGTATCATTTTCTAGGATATCATTTATTCATACTGTATATTTCCAAATCTGACTCTTGTATTTTATTTTTATTTTCAGCATACCACTATACTGCCACTACTGTTTATTGAGCTGATTACTTGTCCGCATAGATATCTTTCCAAATTGAAGGGAATGGTAGGACTTAGCATCTTTGGTACTTCATACCTCACATGGTAGGCATTCCATGTTTCTCAGAGACACATCAGCAACAAGAGAGTAGAATGCATGTGTGTATTTCTACCATGTGTGTTTTTGTCATGATATTTTTGTTAATGTAATTACTATAATGGTTCTTACATTACAATAGATTCATATACACATATTTTACAAGAAATAATAAAAATGTGAGCTGCAGTCACTTTTTTTTTTTTAAATGCAAGTGTGATTCCATGACCAGTCTGGTCCCAGATACAATCTCCCTGTATGCTTTGGAGAGAGTTGCTGCAGGACACCTCTCCATTTCAGATGTAGTAGCAAGTTTTCATATATGTGGCCTTTATGTGGAGTTTCCCCCTCTGCTGCAAAATATTTATGATCGGTAAATTTGACCCAAGGAGAGGCTCCAACTACTTACTTTATTCAAAATTGGTGATCACGTTGAAACCTCATGTTGAACTATTTCACTGCTTAGTGTATTAGCAAAACATCCATGTAAAATATTTATCCTGTATGGTTGGATTCCTTTAATAGATGTTCCACAAAAATAAAGTTTCAAGTTTTGCATATGCAGTAATTCAAATAGTCTAAGTGTCTAATTCTACACTTAGTATGCTAGGAAGGAAACAAGTAACTGAGTGAAAGAGGAAGATTCTTGAGGGGAAATGAAAGTGGTCAGGAAACTAGAAGGATTCAAATAAAGCAAAGCAGATTACATTTAAAGTCTCTATTGAATAAAAGCTAGAGATGTTATTACACAACATGCTGTTTTCACTTGTTTTGAGTAAATTTACTTTAAGAAAAACCTCTTTAGATTTCTCCAAAATTTCTGCAGGCTCAGAAACAAAAGTCGTACAAATTTTCCCTCAAATTCCCTGTAATTTTGCTCAGGATGAATAGTAATCTGTCATAACTGTTGAAATTGTCAGTGACCTTACAAATTCACCTGATGCAGGTAGACCGTTGATCAGTCTTTATTTAATTTTAAAACTAACATTAAAAATACCTTGAACATTAATCTCCTTTCACTTAATTATAAATATAATTACGGGAATACTAACTAGTACCTTAACCATAGCTGGCTGAAATAAGATTTAAAAAATAGCCAGAGATCTTCAATCAATATATTCTCCCAGTATACAAACCAGTGTGAGTGCTTACTACACCATTCCTTAACCAAAAGCCTGGGTAAAAAGGTGGGCTTTTCAGTTTACTCTAAAGATAGCACATTTGAGTTATTTTGGCTTGGGGAGGAGAGTAATGTAGTCTCTTAAGCTATATGTACACTGCACACCATACAATAGACAGTCGGGTTGTTGCAGCCACACCTGTATAAAATGCACATTGTAGCTGCCCTTTGTCACAAGGAGATAGCTCTCCCAGTGATAAAATAAATCCACCCCAAATGAGGAGCGGTAGCTTTCTCATCAGGAGAGCATCTCCCATTGACAGAGTTGTCCACACTGGCTCTTTTCATCGTTGTTTTAAATTTTTTGTCATTCAGTGGAGTATTTTTCACACGCCTGAGAGACAAAAGTTTTAACAGCAAAAGTGCTGTGTAGACATAGCCTTTATGTGTGCGCACAGCAGTCCCTAAACTAGCTACAATGGCATGAGCCTGGCTAAGATATCAGTGTAGATGCATTGACATCCATAGGCTTCAGCATGGGCTGAACAAACACACTGAAAATCCTGGCTACTTGCATTGTTAAAGGCTGCATTGCCACATCTACAGTGCTGTTTTTAGCTGTGCTACTTAGATGCGTCTACCTGTGCTGCAATCACACCTATAATTACTTTGTGGAAATATCTTAAGATACTCCAGTTCAGCTTTTAGAGCTCAAAACCAGGACTTTAAACTCCTCCTGGAAACTAAGATAGCTGATGCATATCCCAGGGTAAGGGGACATATAAATAAACCACCACATCCTGTATCAGCTTCTAGGTTGATTTAAAATGTAGCCAGTTGTAGGATTCACGGTATTAGTCTACTCTTAAAATAGAAAAGGCATGGATTACAGACACAAACAGAAAAAATCACAATACACTGCTACTGTATGATGGCAACATTTAGGGATATACCTGAATTGAAATGACAATCTCTATAAATATATAATTAATGTACTGCTGCATGTATAACATGGAAAAAAACTGAGAGACTAGCCAAAATGGCATATACCATGGAATTGGTAACAAGGGATCAGTATGTCCCCTATGTACAAAGTACCTGCATAGATCCTGGAAACTCTTGCAAATTCCTTTCCCAGTGCAGCTTTTTTTAATCTTTTCATCATAGAATAGTAGAACTGGAAGGGACCTCAGGAGGTCATCGAGTCCAGTCCCCTGCCCTTGTGGCAGGACCAAATAGACATTTATCTAACCTACTCTTAAATATCTCCAGAGATGGGGATTCCACAACCTCCCTGGGCAATTTATTCCAGTGTTTGACTACCCTAACAGTTAGGAACTTTTTCCTAATGTCCAACCTAAACCTCCCTTGCTGCAGTTTAAGCCCATTGCTTCTCATTCTGTCCTCAGAGGCCAAGATGAACAAGTTTTCTCCCGCCTCCTTATGACACCCTTTTAAATACCTAAAAACGGCTATCATGTTCCCCCTCAGTCTTCTCTTTTCTAAACTAAACAAACCCAATTCTTTAAGCCTTCCTTCATAGGTCATGTTCTCTAGATCTTTAATCATTCTTGTTGCTCTGCTCTGGACCCTCTCCAATTTCTCCATATCTTTCTTGAAATGCGGTGCCCAGAACTGGACACAATATTCCAACTGAGGCCTAATCAGCACAGAGTAGAGCGGAAGAATGACTTCTTGTGTCTTGCTCACAACACACCTGTTAATGCATCCCAGAATCATGTTTGCTTTTTTTGCAACAGCATCACACTGCTGACTCATGCATAGCTCTCCATTCCCTACCTGACCAAACTGAAAGGTCAGTCAATTCCCAAAAACAAGTGAAATCCCACAAAATCTGCTTGTCTATAAAGAGAATATGCAAAGGGAAGGACTGCATGTACAGAGCCTTCGTAGTTTTCTTCCCCCACTGGCTCTTTCATCTGTTCCTTACAGCCTGGCTATGATAATGTCGCCTGTGATAATGTTCCACTATTTGATCTGAGGAAGTGGGTCTGGCCCACGAAAGCTCATCATCTAATAAACCATCTTGTTAGTCTTTAAAGTGCTACATTGTCCTGCATTTTGATTATTTGGTGACATCGGTCCCAAGTGTTGATAGCAGGCGTTGCTAAATGGATGCAGAAAAATGAATCTGCCAGCCTCTATTTCAAGTGACAATTCCATTCTATCCAATATTTGACATGTAAGCCAAAAACCTCGTTGGGCTGACACTATGTGATCTTGGACAAGTCACTTAATTGTCTCCTCCATTAGATGGAGGTGTTAATGTCTTCCTCACCTAAAGTTGGCTATTAACTGTTTTATTATTTCTTAATAATCTTATTTGAAATTATTCAAATCTTCATGGCTGCGTCTAGACTGGCATGATTTTGCCCAAATACTTTTAATGGAAAAGTTTTTCCGTTAAAAGTATTTGCGCAAGACAGCGTCTATATTGACATGTGCCTTTGTGCAAAAGCATTCGTGCCAGTGTAGACGCTCTCTTGCGCAAGAAAACTCCGATGGCAATTTTAGCCATCGGGCTTTCTTGTGCAAGAAATTAACTTGGCTGTCTACACTGGCCCTCTTGTGCAAGAATACTTACGCAAGAGGGCTAATCCCTGAGCAGGAGTGTCGGAGCATTTGCGCAAGAACCACTGATTTTGTACAGTACAAAGTCAGTGTTCTCGTGCAAAAGCTTGCCAGTCTAGATGCAGCCCATAAGTAATTATTATTTGTCCCTTCCAGAGAGTGCTGTCTTGTCTTATACCTCTGTTGCCTTCCACAGGAACCAGAGAGGGCATAAAATTCTCAGATTTACTGCTAGTATTCTGCAGAGTAAAATTATGCAGTTTTGATTTCCAAGACTTTATTGCTTGTGCCATGAGGCAGTGAGAGCCCTTAGGGCCAGATTTTTAAAGGTATTTATACACTCCCAGTGAAAACAGTGAGAGGCATCTAAACATGTTTTAAAATCTGGACTTTACTGTTGGGGCATGAATCCTTCATATTATCCAATAGTGACTTCTCTGACCAATTTTGAGGGTAACACAGTCCTCAACTGAAAGACTGGTAGCTACTATACGGGGCCTCAGGAGTGGGAGTGAGGGGAAAAAATGGATGATTCTGTGCTCAGCAGGTTATATGAAGAACTTATTAAAAATCTTAGCAAATCTTTAGTTATATAGTTTCTAATTGTGGAACACCATAAAATATTTAAAAACAATTACAATAACATTTTCCTAGTTCTGTGCCTGCTATAATGTCTGTGCTAACTGTAACTCAGAGTTCTTTGGTTGTGTGGTTTGTGTTACATCTTTAGGGTTAAATTTTCAAAGCACATCCATTCTATACCCAGGAAGGACTTGTTTATGTAAAAATAACATTGATATTTTAGCAATCAGAAGAGGTAGATAAGCCTTCAAGAATGGCTGTTTCCATTCGGAAATGGTTTGTTTGTTCGTATACATAAAACTGGGGTTTGTTCAGCTGTATGAGTAATTCACAATTCAGTTATGTGTTACTTACCTTTCTAGTGGACAGAGGTTTATTAATCTGCTACTGCTTACACCTAAAAAACAGTGATTTAGTTCACATGACTGCTAAAGACACCTATCTAGACATTCAGAGATCCACAAAACAATTGTCAAAAAATCAGGGTAAGTGGCTGCAGAGTCTTGCACTAGGTTTTGAATATTTGATCTTCAATATTGTTTTATTTTGTGTTTAAATAACCATTGGAATGCATACACACGTAAAAAATTTGACAACACAAGTTAGCACAAATGAAGAATTGTCTATTTATTCTTCTGTACACACATGTAGAGCCTTGTGTAGATGCATAATTTGTATCTGAATCCATATCCACAAAAATGAGCAGTGGATACCCTCAGATATCCACAATTTTGCAGGGTTCTAGATACAAAATTTATATCTACATCTGCAAAAATGAGCCGTGGATATCTGAGCATTTGCAGGTATCTGCGCATATGATATATACTGCTGAGATGTAACTCAGCTACTCAGTTCTACCCCTCCCTTGCTGCCTCTGTATCAAAGGCAGCAAGGGGGCGTGGAAAACCGGAGCCAGTGCTGGGGGAGCTGGCTTAACAGCTGCTTCCTCCTAGCACTGACTCCACAGTGCCGCTTGCTCCGGAGGCAGCAGCGTGGAGGATCGGGGAGGCTGCTCCAGCAGCAGCCCATATGCAATGGCCTGGCTGGCAGCAGACGGGTTGCTGCCAGGCAAACTCTGCCTGCAGACTGGCTCGTACCACATTTAAAAGGCAGAGCTGCAGCAGTCCTGGGCCCAGCAGAAACTGGAACTGCTCAGTCCTGGCTCTCGCCATTTTATGGACCTACCCCCGCTGCGGCTCTGCAGAGCACCTCCCCTTATCAACTAATCGTGTAGTCCATACAAATTGTATTAATTACATGATTAACCAGATACCTGCTCCTTAACATCTTTAATATATTGTAACTTGTGGTTTGGCAGAGCTACATAGTTTTGTGACTTTAAGCAGTGCCTGAAAAATGTTTTGCAAACCTCTGTAAAAGGTGCTAGAGAATTTGAAATCATTATTACTTTTAATTGTTATTTAAATGATAGCAATATTACATTTCACTCTTAGAGCTTTTCATCAAGGATCTCAGAAGACTATAAATATTAAAATATCCTCACCACACTCTATTTAATCCCCTTACGTTGCTGTTCCTGCAGGGAAAACGTTTAAATCAATACAATGTTATTTTAATTTTTTAACTAAAACAATTCAATATTTCTAAACATTTTCATTTAGGGAAAAAATGTTGTTTGAAAAGGTAACTAATTTACCAAACATTGTTCCTTTTTAAATGCAGATTTGTAACTGACAACTGAAATTTTCATATGGTTTGAGAAATAAAGCCAATTTTTAATCTTCAAGCAAAATATATGTCTAGTTCTCTTTATTAATACTGTTTGTTTTTCATTGGTTTAGGGTACTATGGGTAAATTATGCATCAGGTATTTGGGCATACCCAATTCTAGAAGTACTAGGCATACCTGGAAAGGTGATACTTTTTAGCATTTCCTACCTTGTAATGGTAGGATTCTACTTACTTGGAGAGCATCTAACAAACTACTTATGGGGTAAGCAATGCAGAGTATTTTCATTGTTATGGGATTTTAATTGGGATAAAGGTGGTAAATGTGTGTTAGCAGAAAAATCTTCTAAATTTTTCCCCAACCACATTTGTCAGCATACAGCTTCCTCATCTCTAACTTTTCATAGAACATAAATTTCTTGAATTATTGATTTTATCTAATAAGGAACTTTATAAGTAAATGTCTGCTGTTTCTGTGGAATTTTCATCTCTGGAAATCTAGGCTGAAGTCATGCTTGAGTTAAAAATGAGAATGAGTTGAGTGGTTTCAGTTTAATCTCTAGCTAATACAAAGCCATTAGATAGCTTAAAACAATTCTTTAGCAATAGAAATCTATGCGCAAGAGAGTCCCACAATTGGAAATGAATGCCAGGATTGAAATGCCCACACTACTTAATTTTACTTTGTTCCTTTCTTGCAGGTGACTTTCAAAAATATAAGAAGAAAGCATAGAGAGGAAGCTGAAAAATAGGTCTCAAAAAGTGCAAGTTCATTTATAAACATACTGCATTTTTAAATCGAGATGCCAACTTAACACTGTTTTGAAAAATGCTCAGACATCTGTCAAATACGTTATTCAAAGCAATAAAAAATGTTCTGTACCAATAATTGTAATCAAGCAATCTATAAGGAAAACAAGCTGATTTATAATCAAGATTTTAATGGTTCTAACAAACTCTCATTCCAGTTACATAAGGAAAAAAATGGTTTACATATATATTCTGGCCTGTAGCTCTGTATGTATATATGCACATAGGTTTTCAGGTCACGAGAATGCTTGGCATTTTTTACCCAAGAGGATATAGTTTTGGTTAACCTTAGGGTTTCAGTGGTCAAAGAAACTAACATTTTCTCACAGCGTCAGTTCAAGGAAATATTATGCCTAAATGTGACTACATGATTTCCAACATTTGTTAGTACAGTTCTGTATCTACTATATATTTGAGAGAGTGAGTCTGTCAGTTCAAGAATTCCTGCTAAATGGTAAGAGCTAGGACCACCAATTTTGGTATACAGCTTCCTCTTATCATAACAAAAACAAGATAGGAGTTTGGTTGTGCCAAGAAAATGTGATATGCCTTGAGTGGGATTTCTTCTCATAAAACCATACAGAAAGCAGACAGAATCATGTGGCAGGTGAAAGGGGCTGTCTGGGAATACCATAGCCCTGAGCCTCCCACTCCCAGGCATCCTTTAGGGAGGGGGACAGCTGAAGCTCCCAACCCATTCATACTGGAACATTGCTGGCCTTTCCTCTCTGTCAGGGAGCAAGGAGAAAGTGCACAGTTTGCTGCATTACTTCCTTACGCTGGGTAGTACAGGGAGGCAGACAACCTGAACATGCACCTCTCCCCCAACTATGCCTGCTGGAACTGCAGTGGCAGTGCAAAGGTGCTTGACACCTGGCCCCAAGCTCCTCTCTTCTTTCCCTGGTGCAGTTTGCATACCAAACCCTTCCTCCCCAGCCCCGCCCCAGAGCAATGGTTTAAATGAAGTGTATACATTTTCATTTTATTTTTCAAAAAACAAAAACTGAGTTAACCCAAGCAAAGCCAGGTAAATCTTCTAGTTAATATTACAGAGGGCTTAAACATCAGCCTTGTAATTAATCTGTTGCTTAAATCATTAATCTTGATTTCAATAACAACAAGATATTGCCTTATGAGCCCTTATAAATAGCATACCACTTATTTCTATTTTTAGACTGAAATAACTATCTAGGTCCTTACAAAATATTGAGTCATAATAACATCCTAGTAAGTACATGCATAATTAATCATCAGGTTTTCATTGGATGAATTAAATACATTAACAACCTTTCTGTTGCATTTATAGCTAAAACAGATTTAGGATTTTAAATTTACAGGAGATTATTTAACTGTTGTAAAGCTTTTTGGCGCTCAATATCTGACTAGTGTTGAGGTGCATTTCAACTTAGACCCCTTGGTATTGGAAATGGAATATATTTATAAACTAATTCCATTAAGATTAGTCCTGGATTGTTCCCTTTCTCTTCTTTGCGTGTCTTAATCATTCTAAGAATAGCGCTCCTCTACTTCTTGTGGGAAGAATATTACATAGTTCGATAGCGTTTTATATTAGGACAATTCTACTATTTAAACTACATTTTCATTCTCTCAGCCCCTTCCTCTCCAATTGCGTTCACTTGAGACATCCTCTGTCTAAATTTATATTCTTCAGATCTTTGTAGGCTGCTATTCTAACTTATTCCAGGGCTTTGTTTTCCTAAATGCTTTGAATATATTGTTTCTTGTAACAGTTTCACAAACTCAGAAGACTGAGTTAAATAAATAAATCAGAATACCAGATTTATAAATGTGCCCAAAGAATACACAACAGAACTCAGGAGCAAATGGTGTCAAAAGTGGTCCCTGAGCTTCTCAGAGACTAGCCTTGATGTACATCAATCCAGTCCCCTGATTTTAATGAGAGCAACCCAACGTTATTCTATGTGGATTACCAACAGCTTTAACAGGGTAATAATGTTTCTGTGACTAGCATTTAGCTGGCAACAATGGATCCAGCTCCCCAACTCAGTCTCTTCAGAATTCTAATATATGGTACCAAATTTCATGTCACTATCAATCTTGCAAAGTTTAATTGTACCTTATGACAACAGTGATCAAAGCCTCGTAGCTAGATGTGGTTTACAAATCAGTAAAACCCAATTAGAAGTTTTGAATTTTACTTGAAACAGATTGTATTTTGTGTTATAATCAATTCAAAACATTATTGAAGAGTATTTAATCTTTTTAAAATACTGAATATAAATAACCTTTGAGTTTGGGATTTGTATCAATGAGATTTTATGTGACTAACCTTGCAGATAATGAGGTGTGTCTGACTTTCTGGTCATCATGGCCCGCATGTGCATCAAGCTCCTATATGCACATATGTGGTTCAATTTTTCTGGCTCCACCTGCAGCCCTTCCAGTCTTGGCTGGCCTCAACATACCACCCAGGATAGGACAGCATCAACATGATACTTACGATGCCCCACCATGTCACTCATGCCCTCCATTGTTGGCTAGACACCAGGTCAGCGCTGGCAAACATACCCTTTCATGCCGCACAATCTATGGTGTCTCTGCTCACAGATGCATTGGTTTTGGATTGGGGGACTTACCTCAGTGTGCTCACCACTCAAGTGATATGATCAGCAGAGGACCCATCCTTCCATACCAATGCATACAAGCTTCGAGCAGTCCATCTCGCCACCTTCTCTTTTGGGGATACTACATGGCAGTCATGATGGGCAATTTGACTGCCACGTTATTATATCAACAAACTGGATGGAGCATGGTTGCCCCCCTTTTGTATTATCATAGAATACTAGGACTGGAAGGGACCTCGAGAGGTCATCAAGTCCAGTCTCCTGCCCTCATGGCAGGACCAAATACTGATAGACATTTATCTAACCTACTCTTAAATATCTCCAGAGATGGGGAGTCCACAACCTCCCTGGGCAATTTATTCCAGTGTTTGACCACCCTGACAGTTAGAAACTTTTTCCTAATATCCAACCTAAACCTCCCTTGCTGCAGTTTAAGCCCATTGCTTTTTGTTATATCCTCAGAGGCCAAGATGAACAAGTTTTCTCCCTCCTCCTTATGACACCCTTTTAGATATCTGAAAACTGCTATCATGGTCCCTCCTCAATCTTCTCTTTTCTAAACTAAACAAACCCAATTCCTTCAGCCTTCCCTCATAGGTCATGTTCTCAGACCTTTAATCATTCTCGTTGCTCTTCTCTGGACCCTGTCCAATTTTTCTACATCTTTCTTGAAATGCGGTGCCCAGAACTGGACACAATACTCCAACTGAGGCCTAACCCGCACAGAGTAGAGTGGAAGAATGACTTCTCGTGTCATGCTCACAACACACCTGTTAATACATCCCAGAATCATGTTTGCTTTCTTTGCAACAGCATCACACTGCTGACTCATATTTAACTTGTGGTCCACTATAACTCCTAGATCCCTTTCTGCCATACTCCTTCCCAGACCATCGCTTCCCATTCTGTATGTGTGAAACTGATTGTTCCTTCCTAAGTGGAGCACTTTGCATTTGTCTTTATTAAACTTCATCCTATTTATCTCAGACCATTTCTCCAATTTGTACAGGTCATTTTGAATTATGACCCTGTCCTCCAGATTAGTCACAATCCCTCCCAGCTTGGTATCATCTGCAAACTTAATAAGCGTACTTTCTATATCAATATCTAAATCGTTGATGAAGATATTGAACAGAGCCGGTCCCAAACAGACCCCTGAGGAACCCCACTTGTTATGCCTTTCCAGCAGGATTATGAACCATTAATAACTAGTCTCTGAGTACGGTTATCCAGCTAGTTATGCACTCACCTTATAGTAGCCCCATCTAAGCTGCATTTACCTAGTTTATTGATAAGAATATCATGCGAAACTGTATCAAACGCCTTACTAAAGTCTAGGTATACCACATCCATTGCTTCTCCCTTATCCACAAGACTCGTTATCCTATCAAAGAAAGCTATCAGATTGGTTTGACATGATTTGTTCTTTACAAATCCATGCTGGCTATTTCCTATCACCTTGCCACTTTCCAAGTGTTTACAGATGATTTCCTTAATTACTTGCTCCATTATCTTCCCTCGCACAGACATTAAACTAACTGGTCTGTAGTTTCCTGGGTTGTTGTTCTTTCCCTTTTTATAGATGGGCTTATTAAAGTCCTTCACCTTGGGACTTATCCACAGTCCACTCTATTCACCTGAAAGCATTGTACCTCCCAGCGGTCTAGAATCAGCTGGCAGATGACTTCAGCCACCATTTTCTCTTTCACAATTGGTCGGTCTGGCCTGATGTCCCCTCACACCTCCTTCTGCAAATGGGGGTTTCCCCAGATAGAGCTCTCTGCTACCTCAATCAGAAATGCCCATAATTCTGCTCATTCCAGGGCCTCAGTCTGAGGACTGTAGTGGATACAATCCTCGTTCTGTGGTGGACCGGCCTGCTATACGCTTTTCCCCTGTTTTCACTGGTCAATAAAGTGTTCCTCAAGGTCTGCAGAGTCAGGGCAAATAGCATCCTGATAGCCCCGGCCTGTGCTCATCAGCCCTGGTACCTTACCATCCAGCAACTGTCAGTACAACCACCCATTCCACTCCCCCTGTTCCTGGACTTCATCACACAGAGGACCATGGTTACCTCCACCTCCTGGATCTGAACTCTCTCCATCTCATGGCGTAATGGCTCCCAGCAGGGTGGTCCGCAAGCTGGATCCGGCCCTCTAAGCCATATTTTGCCCAGCCCTGTTCTAGACCACCCCTGATAGATGTCTTTCTAACCTGCTCTTAATTATCTCCAGAGATGGCGATTCCACAACCTCCCTAGATCAAATTGACATAGTCCCCAACCTCGGCACCAGGCCCAACTAAAGAACGAGCCATCATACGGCACCACGCCTCCATAGCGGTGCCCAGCACTCCAGCCCCAGAGGCAAGAGGGCATCACTGCTCCATTGTGGCACCAGCACCTGCCCTGCCCCGTCAAGCAACGGGAGCAGAGTTGGCACCATCTCCGGGGACCCATGCAGTACCAAACTAGGTGCCCTTGTCCTTTAGCTGCCTGGCACCACCCTTGGCCGTGCCTCTGCCTCCCCCTCAGCACTGAGGGAAGCCCAAATCAATGGCACAACACACCCTGTGATGGGGGTCACCGACTCCCACTGCTACTGCACCACCCTGATCAACATCCAAGTACTCAGCCGATTTGGAGGCAGAATCAGTTTGGTCCTTGTGGAGCATCAGATCAAGGTTGTGGCGTCGTTCTTACTCCAACCTCCGGTCCCAGCACCACAGTACATCAGCACTCCCTGCCCAGCAGCAGCCTTGGCCACAGCCCACCCCAGTGCCAGGGGTGCAACAGTCTTGCCCCCTCAGCTACAGGCTCCTGTTCAGTGGCCATT